TGTTAGGAAAAGAGGAGAGGAGACTTCCCCTGATTTCAGACGTCTAATTAGACTCCCTCCCCTCAAATCCCCCATTGGATAGTTGCCTGATGAATAATAATCCAGGCAAAACTTCAACACTTGCTCTGATATTCTTAGCTTCATAGTCTTGCAGAGCTCGCTTTTGAGCTAAGAGAAATACCATGTTAAAAACACAAAACTAGGAAGAAAGAATAACGTTAGGGTTTTGGATTGGTGCATAAGTTTTCTACACTTAGCAAATTTGGGTACGTGTTTAGAGCATTTTGATACAGAATTATCAGTGCTAATAAATCAGTTACTTAGACAGCTTCATCACCATGATCCAAGTCATTTTATCTTCCGAAGGGAGGCTCTGAGTAGTTCACCAAGGAAAAAAAAGACACCAAAAAGCTAAAAAGGTGAATGCCCATTATTGGGGAAATGGCTCAAATAAATTATGGTATAATGACAACATGGAATACTATTCAGTCATTGTAAATGAATTACATGACATATTCATGAATGAGAAAAATAGTATGTAGAAAAATATATGTAATAAGTGTGATCCAGTTTTTTGAAAAACAATGATAAAACCACCTCTACCTGTTTGTTATTCTGTATGAATGTATGTGTATATATGTTCATATGTAATGGTATAAGCATGGAGAAAACAATAAAATCATATACACCACGTTGTTAACATGGGAAAACTGTGGGTAACGATAGGGTAAAATGATACAAAAGGAAGGAAAAGGAATAAAGTGGTTTACACAAATAAAGACCTCTATGTAAAATTAATATGCATAATATAATTATTTTTATGCATTATAAAAAGAAGAAAAATCAACTCCCAATGTTGGAGGAAATGAAAAAGAAAGGTAAAAGTGATTGAGGGGTAAGAAGCACTTTCAGAATGGTATATAAGATCCTCCAAAGATCTGTTCCTCCATGAAAACAGTGAAAACACTGCAAAAAAAATATCAAATTCAAAATTTTCAGAATTGGGGGATTTAATCAAAAGCTTGCATCAATTAGGGGAACCTTTATTTAACAAAAATATCTGAATTACAGTAAGAGCTATGAGTCCTGTAGCATTGTAACTTGCCCCAGTCGCTTCACCCTCTACTCAGTTTTGTGGTAGCCTTAAAAACGAATGACCTTGGTAACTATGGTAACTGAAAACTGGCAACCTAAGAGGCAATGGAGAGGGAAGAATGGGTTTGGCATCCCCAAGAAGCCATCTCCAGGAAATTGTCACCATTCAACCTATCTGCAAGCTCCCTGGAAAGGATCCATTCTCTGGGCTTGTCTTTATTTTACATGATTCAGAGCTATCTCTATGCAGACAGCTCTATCCCAGGGCACGTTTTTAGATCACAATCTGTGGCAACATCACCACTACCTGCGGCAAGAATACCTGTTGGAAATAATAGGCCGACAAAAACTTTAAAAGGAAAAATTGGGGAATGAGATGTCCAAAGGGGCCTTTGACAAGTTCTGACATAGGTCTTGGGATTTTAGAAAGCCAGGTTCAGGTTCGGGGCTGTGCCATATCCAAGAAAGATATGAGAGGTCAGTCACTAAAGCTGCATGTTCATGGTATGATGCTCTTCATGTGAAATGTTCAGAATAGGCAAAATATAGAAACAGAAAGTAGATTAGTTTTAGACACAGGCTGGGAGAATGGGAAAATGAGGGGTAATGGATACAGCATTTCTTTCTGCAGTGATGAAAATGTCCTCTAATTAGACAGTGGTGGTGGTTGCACAACACTGTGAATACATGTTTAAAATACTGAACTGTACATACTAAGAGGATGAATTTCGTGGTATGTTGACTTTACCTCAAAAGGTGGCTCTTTTTCAAAAAGCGAATGAGAGGTATGATGTGTTTTCATCTGATATAGATGATTTAGGAGCTGGTTACCAAAGAGCATACTGAGAGAACAGAACATTGTAAGCTTTCAGCACATTAACCCACCCTCTGGTCACTTTAATTCCTGATGAGAGTTTCTAGGTTATTTTATTGTGTGCCATATTATTTTTAACCCAAAAGCTCTTGGCTGGTCAAAGAGATCTTCTCTTTTCTTAAAAAAAATCAAAATATGTATGTTTAAATATTTACAAAATATATCAGGAGAAAAGGTAAAAATAAAAGTCCAGATACAGAATGCAACCTAGAAAAGTCCCTCATTGAAATATAGCATGAACACTAACTATGGACATTTTCCCTTTCCTTATTACAACTGGTTTTCAAAATGCAACTAATGAAACTCCAGAAGCAACAGATGTCACGTAAAGCCTATTGCACATTTACACAGCCCAGCTCTGCTGCACAGTGTAATGTGGGGAGTGTTCTGGCTAAAACTTTACAAACTGCAGTTATTCTATGCTTTGGCGTGATATTAAGAACCCCCAGGAGGAAATGACTTAAGGAAAGGCTATTTCCTGGTACCTTTTGCCAGGAGTTCTCCCCTTGGTTTTCTACCCAGGATATTTGGTAGGACAGAATGTCTGGCTACTGAAGCGGACTTAAATAGGTTTTACATATGACTGGAATTTAAAATGACATTTTCATTAGAGAATAATTGAAAAAAGAAATAAAGCAAATTCTCTGCTGAGTGTTAGTACAAATACAAGTCATTAAATGATGCTTTAAATAAAATTAAATAAATAAATAAAAATAAATAAATATCAAATCCAGAAGTGTGGTTACTAAAATTTTGAAATGACTATAGTTCATTTATTTATTCATTCAACAATTATTTATTAATCACAGAATATACAGTAGTAAAAAAAAATAGACTCCTCTTCTACTTTCCTGGAGCTTAGAATTTGCTCAGCAATGCTCTACTACTGCAAAGAAAGCAGCAAAATTAAACAAGGAAGCATGAAATACTTGAAAGAGCACGGGTCTAGGAGTGCCAAGATCAGAATCCCAATTTCATGTCTACCAATTACTAGACAAGCAATATTGAATATACCAACTTAATTTCCCTAGGCCTCAATTTCATACCTTGAAAAATGGTGTATATTACCTTTCCTGCATACCTCATCAATTAATTGTAAGAACACCACAGAAAATATTCAAACATGCCCTGAAAACTACCAAAAACTCTATAATCACAGGCTAGCAATATTACTGAAATGTATGAAAATGATCAAATCCCTTGCAATAAACAATTTTAGTTAATATAGATAGTCTGTTGAGGGTCTACGTGGTCCCTCAGTAAAGTAAAAAACAGTGAAGTTCAATGCTGGCAGGTACATTAACAACATAAAATGACACATATTCGGAGCTTTCAGCCTTTCTCCATTTAATCATTCTAATTTCACCTGGATTTCCTTTACATGTCAAATTACATTCATATTCTCAAGCAATGTTCCAGCCACAGGAAGAGAAAATGAGTCAAACAGACTTCCATCAAACTTCCAAACTGAGCAACAAGTACCATATGTTTCTTTACTCTTCAGGGTATGTGTTTGTCACCTCTACTCAAATCATAACAAATAATGGAACTTTCAAAATAGAGACAAATCCATTTAGTAAAAGAAAACAACAGTGGCTGTAATTGCAACCACATTAACTGGACTGAGTAATTACTTAAATTACTTTTGCACTTTTGATGGGAAAATACTGTCCTTAAGAATAATGAAGTGCTTAAGACATGACCAAAATATTAAAAACCTCAAAATTAAACTCGCGAGGAAAATAAATTTTACTTGGCATAAGTCAGGTTTGCAGTATCAGTGTCAGGTAATGAACACAAATACGTATGAATCTCTGGTGAACACCAAGCCTAAGAAAGAGTTAAAACCAATAGGTGCTGTGTGAAATAATGGAATCCAAATAGTCTGCTTCTTTGGGGCTGGAGAAATAGAATAATCCTGCTTTTCTTCAGCCGATGGCAAACATTTAGTGTGATAACTAAGTGTCTGCTTAATCCTTCCCTTCCTGGCTCAGAATGAAAATAAATACTCTGTCCTAAACCTCAGATGTGATTTCTCTGTGTGGGTTTTCATGAAAGAGGGAAGAACAAACAAGAAAATGGTCATGGACAGTTGGGCTTTGTATAATTTTTAATTACATAACTTTGTTTTAGGGACTAGAAAACAAAAATCAAGACAACTGCAGAGAAAGTTCTTACAGTGACAGTGCTCTGATTAGGTTTTATCAGTGCTGACTGGACCAGAGCCGAAGTTCTTTGGCTCTTCCCACACAAATCCACTCCCATCAACACTCCGAAAGTTTAGTAACTTTACTAAAAAATCTGAGATATTGAAGAGTAGCATCACATTCCAGAGCATATGGTCTGCCCCCAACTAACTGACCTCATCTCCACACTTTCTGTTCTCTTTCTCTCCCAGCTCTTTTACTGGAATAACTGACAAACCCCTCCATTTATGCTCAGACAGAAGTTTTGCATGTGCCATTTTCCTCAAGCTGTGATTATTTGTCAGTCACCTACACATAAAATACATTGCACAGCCAATAAAAGAGGAAGGAAAAAAGAACACATGGACACATCAAAAGCAAAACGGGGGCATAGCTCCTATTAAATCACTTGGCATTCAACTATAAAGTTGGGGTACCTCCTACAAGGCACCAATAACTAAGTAACTTAACTTATTAATTTAACTATCATAAAATAAGTAACTTGAAACTTCAAACAGAAACACAGATTTTCAGAGGCAAACCACCACAAAGTGAATACCATTATACTGGGGCAAACCAGCATACATTTTTATGCCTCAGAAATGTTGAATGACATTGATACATTTTTATTCTTTATTTATGCCCCTCTCTGGCTGGCTGAGCTGATGGCGTTTATGTTTAGGAATAGGACACTCTGCCAGGCTTGCCGGATAAGTGAGTGGAGTGTTACCTGTGTGGACCAGTAACTGACTGTGAATTAAGATCATCTGTTGCTAGACTTAAAACTCTATCTGTGGCTTCCAAAGACATTAAAGGGCGCATGCACTCAGCACCTTCAGACTTACTTGTGTTCCTGTGATGTTGGTCCCCTAGGAGAGAAGCATTCGTGGTCCAAGCTGGAATGTGTTGGTTGGGATGTGTAGTAGATGTCATGGTGCTCTCGTTATAAATTGTATTGATAAGAATAACATCAGGCACTTGGACTTCACCATCAGTGACCATGGGTTCACTCCCATTTGATTTAAAATAGGCTTTTTTTAACGTTCCTGAAAGGCAAAAAATAAATATTTTAAACATTATTAGAAGTATTTATTTTTAAAAACATTAAGGAAAACTTGAGCTATTTTCCCACATTTCATTCTATCCAGGTAAACACAAAGAGAAAGATGATGGCTAGCTAACTTCTTTGGGACAAATCAGTAGAGTTTTCTCTTCTACAGCAAATCACATAGCCCTGTACAGAAACTATGTCTTCCTCAAATGCTTAAGGTTTAAAAACTGAGTCTCCTATCTAGGCTCTTGGTGCTCAAAGAATTTAGGGCAATTCCATCTCACCTGACACTCACCACAAAGCAATAAAACATGGTGAATCTTACAGTGTTTACTTTCTGTTTCTCAATTTCACCCATCATTTTATGCTACTCAGCACCCACACACATGTTCTCATATCTCGATATCTGCCTCCAAAGTGCACAATAGTGCCTCACTAGCCTCAGCCTTATATGTCTTCACATTTTCACTATATATCAGTGAACTACGCATAACAGAAAAATAAAAATAATAGGGCTTGTGTATTTACTTATACTTATATCATAGAAACCAAAAAACAAATAAAATATAAAATGAAACTCTAATTCCAGCAAAACTAAAAGAAGGTACTAAATTATCCTCATCTTTAACTAGGCGGTATAAAATATCATTACAAGAAATAAGAAATAGTCATTAAACTAAGATTATTAATAGGTCCCTTTCTCAATGCATTCATTGACAAAATAGCCAAATCTGACTATTGGGAATCACCTAGCTTTGACTTTAGGCAGAAACTTTTTAAAACTTTGAAAGAGATCATGTATTTTTAACTCAGTCAAAATAGACGACAGACTGTTTGCAGTATATAGCACTATTGTTGAGTATGCTACTAAAATAAATGAATGTGATATTGATCCATTATAGAAATACCCAAGGGAGGTTTCAAAAAAAATTTACAGTGAATGCTCTAATTGGTTCTCACTTTTCCAAGCAGTCTGTGGACCATTAAAAATAAAAGAAATATAAATAAAATGTTCAATATCAGCCTATGGAAAAAATTCCTCTACATGTGTTTGACACTTGGAAAACATTAACTACAAATCAAAATAGAAAAGCAGCTGTTTTCTAGCTAACTAAGGTCAACAGTTTCATCTGCCAAAGGATTCTAAATAAAACGTTGGAGCATAAAAGCAAAATCATGACCATGTGATGCAGGTAACACATTCTCCAAACTGTCTGTGTGATTATGAGTAAATACCGAGTGCAGTCGGTAGAATGAAAGACTTAATTTAATTGCTTTTGGCTTTCAAAATGATTTAGAATTTACCCTGCATCAAAATAAATATGTGATAGGCTTGATTACTATAGAAAATGCATTTCATTCATACAGAAAATTTTACGAATCAATTAGATATAATTTTGTTTTTATCCACGTGTTAGCTGCTCTCTTCTTTACTTGTTTTAGGGTAAAGAGATATTGTACATAGCGTGTTGTTTCCACCAATGGTTCTCTGAATATGGAAGGCCCATAAAGTTGATTTAACTTATCATGCAAACCCTGTGAATCAGCAAGCAGCTCTGTCAACACACTTGTCGCAGCACCAATTCCTCACAGCTACATCCTTAAGCAGTTCACTTAAAAGGAGACCCTTATTGTATAAAATATCCAACAGTAGTTCTTAACATGTTTTGTAATAATTAACCTTATTAATAATCTCTCCTTTTTCTTTTCTACCTAACCACAGTGGTGAAAGTGTTAATAACATCTCCTTTCTTTAAGAAGTCCTTTGAAATTCTTACTTTCTTAAAAACACTGAGACAACAACTTAAAAAAAGCAGCTTCTTCACTCTTAAATTCTACATATAAAGCAGGTTGGCAGGCTAGAGAGAAAGAACATATGATATATGATAGTTGTTGTAACTAATGTTCCTAAAGTATATTTTTGAGATAGACAGACCAACAGAAAGAGAGAGAGAGAGAGAGAGAGAGAGAGAGAGAGAGAGAGAGAGAGAGAACAAGCCTAAATGGCGTGTTTTTAAAAGCCTGAATTCATTAGACAATTTGTTTTCAAGCATCTCTGGAAACTGACCAACTCAACTCACAGTTGGTCATCTATTATGCTTTTTTTTTAAAAAAAAATGCACAAAATCAAGAACTCAATAAGACCAAATACTCTCAAACCATGATTAGCTATAAAAGTGCTGAGCTTTTACCTAAAGTAGAGTGTTCATTCTTTCAGTGCTGCTCCATCCTTTTTCACATTCCTATTTTTATAGTGCTGTAGTTAAAAGCACAGGTTCTACAGCCTGACCACCTGGGTTCAAATCCCATCTCTAGCACTTACTATCCTGAAACTTTGGGCAGACACTCAACTGCCATAAAATAAGGAAAATAAAAGTACCTCTTTCCTGGGGCTGGTCGAGTCAAATTGATCACTACCTATATAAACACTTGGAACAGTCCTGGCACAGGATAAGAACTAAGTAACTACTATTCATTACTACACAATGATAGTAATGAAAGTAAACCTGTCTTCCTTTGGGCTACTAAGGTATTTTTAATAAATACCAATTTCCTTTTATTATAGATGTATCCCAATATAACAAAATGGAAAAGGAAATTTTCAAAAGTGAATCACAATGCACTTTTGGAGTGAAGTCACTTTGGCTCTTTCATGCTAAATTATTAATAGAAGACCACACTGTATCAAGATTATATGGCTCAAAAGTTGCAGCTCTCTAACATGGCTCTAACAATGTTTAAGAAATAGTCTATAATTCCAATAATAATAGCCCTGCTTTACCTATCACCTACAATGAATGGATGGAGCGCTGTGGTTGGCTGAATAATGCTGCCCCAGAGATGTCCATATCCTAAGCCCCAGAACCTATGATTATGTTACCTTACATGGCAAAAGGGGTGCTGCAGATGTGAGTAAGTTAAGGAATTTGAGATGGGAAACTTATCCTGGATTATCAGGTGATCCCAAGGTAGTCACAGGTTCCTTACAAGCAGAAGAGGGAGGTGAGGAAGTATGTACCAGAGCCACGCAGTGTGAGAAAGACTCAGTGGGCCATTGCTCAGTTGAAGACGGAAAGGAGCCACAAGCCAAGAATGCGAGAAGCTTCTAGAAACTGGAAAAGATAGGAAACAGAGTGTCCCCTAGAGTCCCCAGAAAGAATACAGTACTAGCAACACCTTAATTTTAGCCCAGTGAGAACTATTTTGGACTTCTGACCTCCATAATTCTAAGGTAATATATTTGTATTATTTTAAGCTACCAAATTTGTGATAATTTGCACAGCAGCAAAGGAAACAAATAATATAGGCACCTTACTAAGTATCCTCACTCTAAGAATCTACTAAGGTAGGCTTCCAACAATCCTAGAGAACAGATGCTATCTAAATTAACCCTTCTTCATGGAGTTGCAGAGAGAAGGAAACTGAAGTTTATAAGAGTTATGGAACTTACCCAAGAATTGAGTTGGGACATGGCAGATATCCATGCACATACACCCACAAACACTTCTCACATTGGATAAGGTACACAGGTTTAAAAAAGTCAACTATCATATGCATGTAAAAACAAGGTATCTTCTTATGATGTGAGTTTGAAGTTAATTCCTATCTTTATATCTCTAGCCATGTGGTAACACATTTACTTTGCATTTTTATGTGCCAGAAACTTTGTATTTACTCTCTGATGAGAATACAAAATCTAGTAAGAGGTTCTTGTCACCAAGATAATAGATTTATAGATTAGTTGAGGGAGAAAGCCATGTAGTCTAAAAAATAGAAACCAAGCTACAAGTGCTTTCAGAATGATTTGCATAGGAAAATCTGGTGACAAAAAGTAGAGAAGTGACTGGCATTCCATTTGAGAAAGTCAGGAAAGGTTTCTTAAGGGAGAATGCACCTCAATGTGAATCTTAAAAGGTTATTAGGGATTTTCTGGTTTCAAACAAAGCATGTGTGGGGAACAGGGGGTGTGGTAAGAGGGAATGGAGAACTTTCTAGATACAGCAGAATGGGAAGATATGCAAAAGCTTAGCAGCAAGTAATTAAGCATGGCTAGCACACAGGGGACTGGCCAGAGAAGAGGGAGAGAGAGTCGAGGCCAGTCTGTGAGGGGTAGTTCCTCTTAAGGTTTGGAATTGATCTTTTTTGTGACGGAGAACTTTTGAAGGATCTTAAATAGAGTGGAACATTAGAATGATCACTCTGGCTGCAGGGCGATGCTTGAAAGAGGTCAAGTCTAGAGGATAGTTACAAAGCTCCTGCAATAGTCCAAGTGAGGGAACAGGAAGGCCTGACCCAAGGCAAAAGCGGTGAGGATGAAGGAAACAATTGGAAGAAAGCTTTCAGGTTGTCCTACAAGTATCTCCAACTTAACATGTCCAAACTAAACTGCCAACCTTCCCTTCACCTACCTGCAGCCTACCCTACCACCTGTACTTCCTACATTAACAAAAATCAAACTGGTTGCCCAAGCCAGAGACCCGGGAGTCAACCTTGACTCCTACTTCTTCTCCCTTATATCAAAATCCAGTCAGTCTTGCTTTCTGTTGCTTTTAATGTACCAAATGCCTTAATTTCTATCTTTATTATCTCTTACTTAGACCATTGCCAGAGCTCCAAATTGATCTCTCTACCTTCACTACTTTCTGCCTCCAGTCCTCTGTAGTGTAATTAGGTCTGTTATCCTTTGCAAATGTAAACATGATCAGATTTCTCCCCACTTAAAAAAATCAGCCAGTGGTAAACCACCACCCATTATAATGGTTTTCAAGCATTTTTGTAGCACGTAAATATTATTTTCAAATAAATAGATCCTATAGCTACAAAATAGACATGAGCTGTATTTTATTGAGATTAATTTATTTATAAATTCTAAACATGTAACTTATTATGAACTAATCAATAAGAAAGTAATAGGTAGTTTTGGTGACACAAAAAAATTCAAAATCCAGACAATAGTTTAGTGGTTACCAGAGGGTAAGGGAGGAGGGGAGTAGTAGATGAGGGTAAACAGGATCAAATACATGGTGATGAAAGGTGAACTGACTCTAGATGGTGAACACACAATGTGATATATAGATGATGTATTACAGAATTGTACACTTAAAACCTATGTAACTTTACTAACCATTGTCACCTCAATAAACTTTAATTTAAAAAAATCAAAACCATTGTTAATGTAATTAGATCTGCATCATCTTGGTATTTATTACCCTATTTTATTTGCACGTATTCAAAAAACATTCTGACTCATAGCAATGAGTAGCTATCAATGGCAATATTTTGGGGTTTTTCCCCCACAACTCTCCTTTTAAACATAGGGTATTGTTCATTTAAAGAGATACAGCAAGATCCAAATACAAGTGAATGAATCCAGCACAAATTATTTGGTTACTGATCTCCGCTTGGGTAATATTTAGATTGAGTGTGTATTTAAGATTTAAAAAAAAAATAGAAAGTCAAAGCCAACAATTATGTAATCCTTGAGACTCCTCCTCAGAATCTTAGTTCCATGGAATAGAGTTTGAAAACCAGTGACCTAGGTGATAAAGCCCAAATTCCTTAAGATGACATGCAAGATTCTGTCATTTGCACTTCATCTATCAATCTAGCTGCATTTCCTACCAGGGCCAAAATTTCAACCAGTTTCCCAAGTCCATCTCCATTTTTCGTGGGATTACACTTTTGCACTTGCGATTTTCTCAGCCAAATGTGAACTGTGTACTATTGCCTTCTAACCCGAATTTCTACTAACTTTGTTGCAAAGATTAAAATGTTAATGCCCCATGACCTTCTTTGACCACCCACAAAGCACTTTGACCGCCCCCAAAGCACCTCTATCATCATGTGTTACCTTGTGTAATAATAATTTCTCTCTCTCAACTGTGAGTTCCTGAGAAAGAAGGACTAATTTAACCATCCTTGAGTCCTCAGGGACTTTTCAAAGCTTCTGCTACCTAATAATCACTCCTTAAATGTTTTGAATTCATTAATATTAATAATAATAACTAGTAGAGTGATTACAGTGGCTGGAACTGCAGACTGCATAAGAGTGTCAACAGATAGCCCTTTTATTGAGTTGATATTTTAGGTTAAATGAGTACTAAGTAGAAATCACTCTTATAAATGACACTGATTTTACTGATTTCATTTTTCTTTTATAATGGCAACACTCACCAACAAAGGAGAGCAGGATCACCAGCAGGACAATGAGAGCACAGATACATGGAATCAGGACCAGCAATAGGAAACGGAGAACATTAGCAGTGGTCAGCTTCTGAGAGCAGCCATCACCCATGTTATGTTCACCAGCTACCAAGGTCTAAAGCCAAAGAGAAATATGAAACGTGGTTTGAATATTACAAAGCATCTCAATACATGGTATGAAATTGTAGAGTACAGCTATCTGTTCAGCGCAGCCGCAATTCTGAAAGAGATCTTACTGTGTGTACTTCCGGGCATGAAATGAGGTCAGTCATCAAATCACACTAATAAATGAACAAATGATGGTACAATGCCATTCAGGGCAGAGCAATTCATATATTTATGAAATGTTTTTCAGGAGTACATAAACTTTTAATGATATTCCACCTTGATTTTCTTAAATGTATTTGTCAGTTTGGTATTATTTCAAAGGACTATAAATTACCATGGCAAGAACTCAGCCTGGCCCAGAGCTACAAGCAAAGACTGCCTAGTTCAGTGATAAGATATTGGTGAGTAGGTGTAGACAAGACATTCTCCAGACTTCACTGTTATTTGTCTCATTAGTCCTAACCCAAATCTGCATGAGTCTGGAGAAAAGTTTTCAGCCATTCATAATTCAGCAAGGTTGAATATTACTGGCCATGTATGTAGTGACAAGTTGAACAACGAAAAAGAGCCTGTTGGCCAGTTAAAACACTGACAATCTCTCAGGACATTCTCCGCTGTCCACACTGCCCCCTGCAGCCCATCCATTTGTGAGAGGATGATGAGGTGCAAGAGTGATGGCTCAGAAAACGTTCTCATCTTCAAATACTTTAAATGTGGCTTAGTTCAATCTCTTGCCAGAAACAACGTCTGGAAATTCATTTACTGCAAAGGGCTAGCTTCGGGCAGTGACTTTTTCAACAGAAGTTTAAGATGGGATTCAACGTGCTCTGAGTCACTCACTAATAGCAACCCTGATTTCCTTAGTGAAGGTATTTCTCATGGTTCTGTCTTGGACTTCCAACTCTCCCTGCATTTTCTCCTCTGATAGTTTCAGAGCTTGAACGATAACCTCTCTGTTAACAATCTCCTGAATCTCTCTTGAGTCCCAAACCTCCTTTCACGTTATATCATATATTTCAAATGCCTAGTGCTTAACAGCATCTCCTTTCTCCTGTGTCACTGCCATCAGCTATTTACCATGTTTATTTTTTCCATCCTTGAGCCTATATCCCTTTTCAGCCACTGTCTCTCCTTCTTTCTCATCCAAAATGCCCTAAGAGTTGGTATTTTTTGTCCAAATCTCCTCACTAACTGTTGATATTCTTGTGGCCACTTAAGTTGGCACCCACTTCTATCACTGTACCAAGACAGCTCTTGCTAGGGTTACCAATGACCTCTATGTTGCCATATAAAAATGATGTTTCTTAATCATCATTGTAATGACACCTTAGTATCATCTGAGAGATCGAATTCTCAGTTAGCCACTCCCATCTTCTTCAAGCGCTTTCTTCCTCTGACTTCTCTTTCTCCTACTTTTCTGGTCATTCCTCCATTTTCTGTAAGCTCTTGTCTCATGTTCGCTCTCTCCAGGCAATATCACCCACACAAATGGAATCAATTGACAGTCCTACACATGTGACTTTTATCTTTAAATAGCAAGCATAGGCCTTTCCTCTGAGCCTCAGCCCTTTGTGTCCAACTGGCCATTTGGCACCTCCTCAGGAGATGTTGCACAAGATACCTCAAACCCAACAGGTCTGAAACCAAATAAATCATCTTCACCCCCATATCTAGTATTCTTCCAGGGTTCCCTATCTCAGGAAAGGTTAATTGAGCAATTATCATGTGTCTACTGTCTGAGCACTTGGGAAATGTCACTGTGCAAAGCAAAAATCTCCAGCCTCTTAGTTCCTACATTCTAGTAAAAACTACCATCATGTCTTACCTGGAATACTGCAAATGGCTCTTCCTGTATGGTTTGCCTATAATCATTCTCGCACTCCCTAATTTGTTCTTCATACCATAGCCAGAGGGAGAAAGAGGCTGTGTATCACTGGATGATGAGAAAAGGCAACACGAAAAATGATCCTCAAATTGAACTCATTCAGGGGATTCAGAGCCTGGAACCAAAGCCGATCATGAGAACCATGTGTCCAGTGGGTTAGCAGTTAACAGAGATTTGGGGAGTGCTCTGGACCTCCACAGAGATGTACAGGGTTTTGAGTCCCTTTTATGAAGATTTCAAGGGCCAAGGAGACCGTAGTTGCTTTTCCTGGTACATTAATCTTTATCCTGTTCTATCTTCCTGCAACATTTGACTTGATCAACACACGGTGCATTCTTAGGGAAACTTCCACAGCTGCAATGGCAGAAACTGCTTGAGAACAAGGGGATCCCTGCCCATCGATCCTTCGCATGGACGTGTCCCTCCTGAGGTCAGAGCCAGCACTTATCCAAGAGCCAAAGAACCAGAAACCTCTGACTGGGCATATTGGGTGCATCTCTAAGCAGGTTAATCCAGAGAATCCTTAGAGATAAAAAATAGTTGCTAACAACCAGGCTACCGCAAAGAAGAAGTTCAGCCCGAATGGAACCAAGCACCTTCTTAGGGACAACAGCCTTCTCTCCTCTCACAACTCCCCTCATTCAGAGTGGGGATCAGTGGCTGGGAACTGTACACACTGGCTCTTCACGCATATTGTTGGGTTATGTAAGAACTTTTTTTTTATCAGTTGGACCCTCCCACATGATAAATTTTACATTTTAAATATAGAGAGCAGGGGTCAACAAACTACAGCCCATGGGCCAAACCCGGCTCACTCCTGTTTTCATACGTAAGGTTTTGTTGGCAGAGATCTACATTGATTCATTTATATACTGTTATAGCTGCTTTTCTGCTACAACAACAGCACTGAGTGGCTGCAACACAGCCATATGGCCCACACGGATTGAATTATTTACTATCTGGCCTTTTAGAGAAGAAGTTTGCCAACCCCTGATATAGAGTATCAATGTCTACCCACATGTATGGGTATCTCATAATCTATTAGTATAATAGCATAACCAAATTAAAGGATAAATTCTTTTAAGAAAATCAGATTTATCTCTTTATCTTTATCTCTTCTTAGTGAAACCTCATATAACTTTATAAGTGGCAACTAGCAGACAGACAGTCTAATTGTTGGTGTCATGGTTACTCCACATAGGTTCAAAGATAAAAACAATCTTCAAAATAAGAAAAAAATATCAAGACTGTATGTGTTACATTAGAAGAATAAAGGAAAGCACAAGTTTCAGGGATATTTAAACTGAAATAGTATTGCAATATGCTTTATAAACTATAATTATAAACTATAGGAACCAATAACTACTCATAAGATTACACAGTTAGAAAGTATGAATTTAGGGGCTGGCCGAGTGGCTCAGTTGGTTAAGAGCTCGCTCAAGAGTTTGAGCTCTGAGCAACAGCAGTTCGAGTCTGGCCCGAGCTGAGGATGGCTCAACTAAAAAAAAAAAAAAAAGAAAGTACATATTTATACTAACTCAGCTGTGTCTCTCTACATGTATGCAAATATACCCTTTTCTCATCACTGTATGCCCAGAATCTAGAACAGTATCTGAACATAGTCAGGAATAGATTAATACTTGATGAATAAATGAATTAATTAAATCACCTAAACAAAATTTTCTCTGTACATAATTAATGCAAATAACTGCTTCTTTCTTAAATGATATATGCCTTACAAAGTCGTCTACTGAATCATCCAAAAATACTTGGAAGAGAAAATATATTTGGCAAAAAAGTAAAAATATTTTCCTTTCAGGGAAAATATACTAAAATTAATAAAATGAGTTTTTACCAAGACCATTAGTGCAATTCCATACTCACATTTCCTATTACAAGCTTTGAAGTCAGAAAATTTTGTTTCAAAAAGTAAACTGTGGTAGATTTTATTACAGACAAAATTTTTAAATAATTTTGTACATTTTCCAATTACATTTCACATATAATATTAGACTGAGGTGTACAACATAGTAATTACACATTTATATAACTTACAGGGTGATCACCCTGATAAGTCTAGTTACCATCTTCCAGCATACATAGTTAGTACAATATTATTTACTATATTCCCTATGCTGTACTTTACATCCCCATGACATATTTGTTTTATACCTGGAAATTTTAACCTCTTTTCCCCTTCACCTTTCCCCCCACTTTTTAAATTTTTCAATTACAGTTGATATTTAATATTATTTTATATTAATTTCAGGCATACAGCATAGTGGTTAGACATTAATGTAATTTAAGTGACCACCCCCAGACTAGTCTAGTACCCACCTTGCGCTATACATAGTTATTACCATAGATTGACTTGGGCAAGGGAAACAAAAGAAAATAAACAAATGGGACTACATGACACTAATAAGTTTTTGCACAGCAAAAGAAACCATCAACCCAAACAAAAAGACAGCCTTCTGAATGGAAGAAGATATTTGTCAATGATACATCTGATAAAGGATTGATATAAAAAATTTATAAATTTATGAAGAACTCATACAACTTAACACCAAAAAAACAAACAATTCAATTAAAAATGGGCAGAGTACCTGAATAGACATTTATCCAAAGAGGACATACAAATGGCCAATAAACATATGAAAAGATGCTCAACATCACTAATCATCAGAGAAATGCAAATAAAAACCACCATGAGATACCACTTCACTCCTATCATCAATAAATCAACAAACAACAAGTGTTGACGAGGATAGAGAAAAAGGAACCCCTGTACACTGTTGGTGGGATTGCAAATTGGTGCAGCCACTACGGAAAAGTGTGGAGGTTCCTCAAAAATTAAAAAATAAAACTACCTTATGACCCAGTAATTCCACTCCTAGGTATTTATCCATAGAAACCCAAAACACTAATTTGAAAACACATATGAACCCCTATGTCTATTGCAGCGCTATTTACAATAGCCAAGATATGGAAACAACCAAAATGCTTATCAATAGAATATTGGATAAAGAAATTGTGGTACATTCATACATGGAGTATTACTCTACTGTAAAAAGAATGAAATCTTACCATTTG